CGTGAAGCTCATGTACCTACCGCCGTACTCGCCCGACCTGAATCCAATCGAGGAGTTCTTCGCGGAGCTCCAGGTCTTCATCAAGCGCAGCTGGAGCACTTACGAGGAAGACCCAGCCCAAGGATTTAATGTGTTCCTAGAGTGGTGCGTGGATAAGGTAGGGAGCAAGCAACAGAGCACGCGGGGCCATGTTAGGCATTCTGGCTGGACCATCGACGAGGTCTAAATGCATTCCTATCTAGACTCGACATTAAGTATTAACCTTAACATTGATGATTTCTTTAACGGTAGCTTATCTCTCTCAATCTCGGTTTCCCCCAAACATAGCGCCATGAACTCCGCCGTTAATCACACCAGTTTGCAAGCCAGAGTTCTGATTGCCAAAAGTTACACTGCCCACTGTGGTTGAACCAACCTGACCCTTTGCGGCTGCTTTGGCAACTGCTTCTTCCTGAGCCCTAGACAACAGCCCGTCCAGTAGTCTCCGCGATGCGACTATCGCTTTGCGCTCCTCCTCATACTGCTGCAACGCTTTCGCTTTGTCTTCATCAGGCCCGACTGCGACTTCATCGTCGCTGCTGAGACCCAGCTCGTCCAGCTTATTATCCAAAACGATTAACTGTCTGTCTGTCGCGGTAATTGCACTCTTCACTTCCTCCTGTTTCTCGGAAATCGTCTTCTTGATGTCCTCAGTAATGTGGCTATGACGCACAGAGCTATACCTGTAGGACAAATAAGTCACACTTGTTGAGTTAAATCTACTTAGTCAAAGCTATTACTTACAGAGTTGCTATGCTCACAATTGAATTGACGGTTAGTTTACAGTTTTGGAGCTGCTCAGACATTGCCTTGATTTGCCCTTGCTTCAGGAGTCCTACTTTCGTGCGATCTTGCCATGCCAGTTTCCCATCCTCTGAGTGCCTGGTCCATCGTTGAAGGTCGGTCCGGAAGTGAGAGCATGCTTGCGTGCAGCTGCTGATTGTCCTCTCTGACTCTTTGCTAACATTTGAGCCAAGCAACTGCCACTCCCTATTCTCTACGCTTTGGAGAAGGCTAAGCGCTGCATCAACAGAGTGGACGTCCTCTAGCAGGCGCGTAACAGTCTTTGGTGCGTCTTTGAGCTGCTGTAGGTCATTTAGAAGTAGTCGTACGCCTTCCAAGGCTGGCGCAGTGATGCCCACGACTGCGGCTGTAATGCTAAGTGGGTCGGCCATTGTGGGTCTGACGCGATTGAGGAATCAGCAAGGGTAGAAATGCTGAAGTAGAAGTCAGACTTAGGGGGAAAGAGAATAGAGCAAAGCTTGTGAGCGGACAGAATTTGTAAGAGGGGAAGCTGAGGCTGAGAGCCGAGAGCTGATCACATGAGGCTGGGGTACGGCTGGACTGTTACCACAGACAGCCTACTCGACTATCGCATACCTTACAACTACACTATGGCGCTAACGGCATCCTTTGGCGATATGAACTATGGCGTCCAGGCCGGCATTATTAATGGTGATGTAAACCCTATGATCAACCTTCCGCCTGGTGAGTTGCGAGACGATCCGAGCTTAACAGCGCCAGACCAAGCGCTAACCGGCGGGCCTCCGCCTAGAGCGACGCGAAACTCCACCACAGCCATCCATCGTGATACCTTTCGCGCGAGACGCAGATTTTGTCGACAGGGGCACACTGCTCGACGAGTTCTGTGAGCGATGCACGCAGCCAAATGCAAGGATAGCGCTCGTCGGACTGGGTGGGGTAGGGTAAGCAGCACGAGTGCTT